TAGCTGTACTGCTACCTGTACTTACTAGCTAACACTAGCTACGCACCATACCCAACACTCGCGCGCCTCACACAGCGACTCCCTCGATGCATGAGCCACGGACACGTTCTAAAAAAGTCTACCATTGTATCAAGAGCTGTATGTATGTCTTTGAACTTAGTCTCAGGGGTGAATAACAAGAAATGGTCATTACTCACCCCCGGTTAGTATGTACACTAAGGCGATGCGAAGTGGAGGCGCAAAGGATGAATAAGACGAACCAAATATCTTCTCGATTTATGAATCAGCATATTATGTACTCTTACTACTATGCAATCACCGACTTTCTGCCACACGGCTGCATTGCGTAGGACCACTACAACTGTGTCTGCCACTGGGTTAGTAAGGCAATATCACGCGGACCACGCACGCCCTTACAAATCGAATGATAACGAAGTTAGCTTAGGACTGTCCATTATCTTAGGACGAAACGATGCGAGATAGGAATTTAAGTGTCATTGCCGGTATCATGTCGTCCCGTACAATACTGGCACTATTTCCGAGCGTGTGTCCGTAACACAATTCCGCGACGCGTGCACGTGAGAACAACAGTTACAGTAAATCTATCAACTAAGACTATTTACGCCGTTAACACGCGTTCAAGGGGCAGAATAGGGCTTCATAACTTCACCACCGCGGCGCCAGTCGGCAGCACTGTCGCTGCCAGGGCGGCTACACAGCGGGTGGACAATTTACAATCATAAACATCGATGATTTGGCACGGATACACTTGCCCTCGCTAGTATCATAGGTATAAATGCGCTAACAGTCACCGGTACGTCAAACTAAGCTCTTTATTGAGATCCTCACGCCGTGAGACTGCTTCTGTTCTCACGTAAAACCACTGTACGACGTCAACAAGGTGGCGCATCCTGGGTAACCATCACCCGAGCCCCGAGCCAACACTAAGAACAGTTAGTTATACGGCTAGTACGGTAGTCATTATAGGCTACGGCTGCTCGCCACACACACACACGGTGAAGCAGCAGCAGTCGCGCGCCCACCCGCCATCACCATCACGCATACAAGTCTCTACATGTAGCCAGTCATTCGCTCCCGCTATAGGAAGGAAACGCTTCTCTCTGGGAGGGAATCCATCCATCGAACCCTCAGCTGTTCCCGTGTGCTCGCTCTCTTACCGATTAGACACTCCCTTCCCCCGCTCCGCCCCGCCGCGCGCACGCAGACGCATTGATCGGAAGCTGCCGCATGACGCTGCTAACAGGGACTTCACCAACATCGTTACGTTACGTCACGTCGTTACGTTACGTGACGTCGTTAAGTTACCGCACGTCGTTACGTTACGTCACGGCGTCGCAACAGACGCGCCGTGTCTCCACATCACGTCGGCGACACCCACCAGCCGCTACATCGCCTGTTCGCGCAACACTAGAATACGCGACAATAACAACAAAATCACGGTAAGTAAACAGCAGCAATAAACAACGTCACTAAAGCAAATAAATATACGAAAAAATCGAGTAAACACTGTTACGGAAAAAAACACAAATGCGCACTAAATTAAATTTCTTAAGCATAAATTGTATATGGTAAATAAGGGCTGAAAGTTAATTACATATTTTAATGACTAGTTTGTCAGTTTTACAGCGAACACCTGCATATAACCTTTAAGCATTAAAATAAAACAAACTATCGAGATTCAAGCTCTTCTTAATACTATCAGTTAAATTAAACAATATTTTAGCATGAGTTGTTGCACGGTTACTAAGCGCTGAAAGTTAAATCACATCTTATATTGACTAGCTGTTAAATGAAACAATATTTTAGCATGAGTTGTTGCACGGTTACTAAGCGCTGAAAGTTAAATCACATCTTATATTGACTAGCTGTTAAATGAAACAATATTTTAGCATGAGTTGTTGCACGGTTACTAAGCGCTGAAAGTTAAATCACATCTTATATTGACTAGCTGTTAAATGAAACAATATTATTAGCATGAGTTGTGCACAGTTAATAAGCGATGAAAGTTAAATCACATCTTATATTGACTAATCACATCTTAATGACTAGTTTGTCAGTTTTTTTTTCTATCAACCTTAACAAATCTTACCACATGTCTGCAGACGGTAACATATGATGGGGGGAATTTCAAAACACGTACCAGAAGTTGCTACACAATAAAGCTGCCTGAACACAGTGTACGTAACATTTGCTTAGCGTTATAAACAACCAAGCCTAAAGGCAACCAAGACTTATGCGTTTTCTATTATTATCAGTTGAATTAGGAATCAAAATTAACGAGTAAAAGCTGGAACATTTTGGTTCTCCTTTGCAAAAGCGTAGCAGAGTTTAGCTGGTAGTATAACGGGTAGTCTTCTTGCTTAATTAATTAGTCTCCTTTTCGTTAAGCAGAATCGATGGATTCACGCTAGCTAAAATTTCACTCGACACCGATGTGGCATCGAAACAAATTGCAAGGATCGAAACCTTTCTTTCATACGTAATATCTGCTGCCGTCATGAGAGCCGATTGCACGTGACGCCCAACTCTCTGGGACGTCTTTCACCGTCTTTGATACCTTGAGCAATTCTTGTTGATCGACATGTCTTAGAATGACCTCCCCAACGAGGATGAATGTACCGTGGGAGGCCTGAGTGACCTCTATGACGTGTCAGCATGACCTCTATGACGTGTCAGCATGACCTCTATGACGTGTCAGCATGACCTCTATGACGTGTCAGCATGACCTCTATGGCATGTCAGCATGACCCCTATGACTGTCCACATGACCTCTACGACACATAGGAATGACCTCAACCGACGGATGAAAGGGTGCGGCAATCTATTCCTTATCATTAAGCACTCCACTCATCCCTGCTTGACTACTGTTGTTTATGAGTATGAACGACAGCATGCTTAACTAGGTGACACCGTCGTACGGACATCGTATTGTGTGGCTTCTACACCCTTTGGCCAGAGCGTCACATGGGTCATGAACAACACAGAGGTGCACCTATTAAGGCACACTACTAGCACTTTGTGCTCATCAGCTGGCAAACCATAGCAGAGTATCACGCCAGCTGTAACACCAATCTCTCACCTACTAACAGGAAACATCGAATCGGCGCCCACCGAGATTCGACTGGCTCACGACGCACGCACACGCACAAATAAGTCTGTCGATGACCTGTCACCTTACTAGCTATGTTGCTGCAACGTTTCTGAAGCTGATGTCTTAGACTTAAGATATATAAATCGTGCCGCATGACATCATATCGTCATATATATACATATATATATATATATATATATATATTTATGAGCTCACGCGGTTATCCTCAACTAGTCATATCCTACACGTGAGCAAGTTATATGGCGCTTGAGTGCCTTCATCGGCAACTATACGATACCATTGCATACCAAACTAACAACCATGGCACGTCCACTAACGCGTGGCCATGTACGCAGTGTGACTATGGACACACCCGCTGTTGCCGCTACAATGCCTAGCACTGACTGCAGGTTCATCACTGCATATTCCATTGCTATCACCTGTTAGTCTAGAGGGCTCTATTACCCGTAAATACGTCAACCGATAACCGCTAGTACACACTCCGCAGTGGCTGCACCGTAATTATCTCATTCATTATATAATCCATCAGTGCATCACAATAACTTGTTGACAATGACACGGCACTGTGTCAACTTCTAGTACATCAAAGTGAGAATGACGTCACCGACTCGCGTGACACCACTAGCTGGCGATACAGCCGCAGTAAGTTCATTTCTCCGTCTCCTCTCTGTTAGTAGGTTTAACTGCAAGCAGCAGCAATCATGCTACATAACTGTAGTCCATCTAGTCTGGTAGTAGAGCATTTTTAGCCGAAAAAAAAATAGTGTAAAGACGATTTTTACACCAGATGAGCTGGACGTGTCGTAGAACAACATATTCAAAATCCGCAAAAATCTGCTTTGGGGAAAATTTTTTTTTGGGAAGTCTTTGAATATTTTGCACTGTTTTGCCTGTTTTGTAGTGGGAAATGAGCATGGGCAAGGCTCGTCGAGTGATATAGTGAGGGCAGATTATGTGAAAAAATTGTGGGTTTTGTAGTAAAATTAAGCACCAAAAATGGCGTGAATGAAGTTAAGGGTATACTAAATTATTTTAGATATAGTGCCAAGCTAATTCTTTTCTGTAACGGCCGTAACAATGGAAAATCCACCGCGCGATTCTCAATATCTACTAATTGTTTCATCTTTGTAAATATTTGGCCTAAAAACATGAATAAAGTGTCTTTTTATATGTTTTTTGACTTGCAGAATCTAATGGTATGATTATTTCAGTAAAAAAATGCATGTATTTGAAGATAGGGTACAGGTTAATGCTAAAAATTTAAGATGGCCACCATCTGAATAGTAAAAATATGTTCTAACTTTGTAAATATTTGCCATAAAAACACAAAACACGCACAAAAGTGCAAAATATTCAAATTTTCCCCAAAGCGGATTTTTGCGGATTTTAGATATGTTGTTCTATGACACATCCTGCTCATCTGGTGTAAAAATCATCTTTATACCATTTTTTTCCGGGTAGCATCGATATTTAACCTTCAACTACCGGACTAATCCCGGAATCCACCTACGCTGGTACGTCGGTCGACGCAGCATCTAGTCAGCGACGTGCGTCCGATGACAACCATCTGCGCGAATTCGCCGGGCGAGGACAAAAGAACGTCCGGCAGCGACCGCGACAATGCGATGTCCATCAACGTTAGTCGCGCGAACGCTTCCGTCGCCATCGCTTCGCTGACAGTGCGAGCGTTGCCGTAGTTACCAGCACCAAACACAGAAGCTGTGTCCGCCGACCGCACCGTGGGACTGCGTCAGTCTCTCTGCAGCAGCAGCAGCAGCAGCAGCAGCGCACACGGACCAGCGTGCGCGCGCCGGCGGCCGGACGGTCAGGCGGACGGTCAGTCTCTCTCTCTCTCGGACGCTCACTATCACAGGTTGGACTCATTCGGTCCGTCGCGGCCGCCGCCGGCACTGTCGTCCGTGTCCACCAGCTGGACGGTGAGATGGTCGTTGTCCCTCAGCTCTATCACAATTCCGCCGGCGTGCGATACCGACTCACCCACCCCCCTGTAAGCGTCGTTCACCTCCTGCTGCTGCTGCTTCTGGTGGTGGTGGTGATGCCCGCCGTGTTTGTTACGCTTCCGCCGCCGCGGCGGCCGCATCACCGGACCGTTCGCTTCCTGCGCCGGGGCGCCACCGGACGCCTCGTCGCGTCTCGCGTCAAACAACTCGTCGCGTCTCGCGTCGAACGACTCGCGTCTCGGCGCCTCGGCGCGCGGCGGCGGCGCCGGGGCTCGCATGAAGTCGTAGTAGCCGATGGGCTGCGACGTCGACGACATGTCCAAGTGGGAGTCGTGCAGCGGTTGTTCCTCTTCGTCCGACAGCGTCAGGTGAAAGGTCACGGGCCGCGGCTCGTCCGGCGAGAACGGAGACGCGGGGGGGTCAGGGGAGAAGGCCGACGCGGCGTCTCCCTCGGGGGAGAAGCCCGGCGCGCCGCCGCCGCCGAAGGAGGAGAAGACGAGCGGCGAGAACTGCTTGCCGTCGGTTAGACTGCCGCCGCCGACGTCGGTCGACTCGGTCGCGACGCTGCGATTGTCGCCGCACTCGCCGGCATCCTCGCTCTCGGACGTCCTCGCGCGCGGCGGGATCGGGGGTGGCACGCCGGTCGCCGCGGCGACCGCCGAGGATGCGGCGCTGGGTTCCGGCGGCAAGAAAGAGGGAGAGTGAAGATGCTGCGGGGACGCTGTGTGGATGTAGTTGTCGGCCCACTTGGGAGAGTGCGAGCGAATCGGAGACACCTGCGACTCGCCGTCGCGCTGTCGCCACGGCAACATCCTCTCGGCTGCAGTTGGCGACGGGGGAGCAGGATCGTCTGCAGAGAGCAGAAGAAGATACATAATAGGATGCTGACATTATTCATGTTATGAGTAGTCCATGACATAATATATATATACACAGTGCACAATCTATTATCCGAAATTCTGAAAACCGAAAAGCTCCAAAAACCAACCAGTTTTTTCGTGGAGGTTCGTCTGCACACTAAAGCTCGCGTTTGGCTGCACAAGGTTCGCTGCAGAACTATTCTCCTTCCACTTCTTCCTTCCCGTACATACTTAAAACGATCTAGCCACACTACGTTTCTAATTCCTGTCAAAATTTCCTGCCACCTACCACCCAATGACAGAGTTGCCGATGCGGCAGAAACATAGGAGAAATCCCGCATGTCAGATAAAAAAAAAAGCCAAAAGAACCCACTAGACTTAAGATGAAGGCAGTTTAAAGCAGAGAGTGAATGTAACAAACCTAAGCTCGACTCCATAGAACCTTTTACTTGGAAGGTGATTCCGTCCTCATCTTCATCTTCCGAGGAGACGACTGAGCCACCGTTATGTACTGGCCTCACCATCAACGTGTCTTTGGCAGCTGTAGAGAAGGCATGCCGTAGAATTGAGGAATAATCAATCAATTAGTGACCAATTAATGAGTAATCAATCAATGAGTAATCAATCAATGAGTGATTAATCAATGAGTGATTCATCAATAAGTGATCAATCAATAAGTGATCAATCAATGAGTGATCACTCATAAATGATCAATCAATGAGTGATCATCTATACATGACTCAATGCAATGAGGCGACTGATCAAAGAGTAGTAAATTCACAATTGATCAATCAGTGTAGAGTAGTAAGATCAATCAATTAGTGATTCATCAATGAGTTATCAATCTATGAGTGACCAATCAATGAGTGATTAATCAATGAGTGATCAAGCAATGAGTGATTCATCAATAAGTGATCAATCAATAAGTGATCAATCAATAAGTGATCAATCAATAAGTGATCAATCAATGAGTGATCAATCAATGAGTGATCACTCATAAATGATCAATCAATGAGCGACTGATCAAAGAGTAGTAAATTCACAATTAATCAATCAGTGTATTCAATTCATCAGTAAGCAATCGAGTATTGCTCAAACAACAAACGATCAACCTGCTATAAATAAATTAATGAGTGATGAATCAACAAGTGATCAATGGAGAAATAAATAAAATTAGGGAGTGTTGAGCGATGAGGCCCCAATTAAGGAAACATTCCCCGATTCCCTACCTCCCTAAATTATAGCGGATGCCACTTGTCTCATTATTATAATCGAGTAAATGCCGTAAACCCGCAGCACGGGTGCTGTGATCGCCAGGTGTCGCCACCTGGTGGTAACCTACGTGTGACTCCGTCGAAGAAGCTGACGTTTTTCACCGGTCGTCGATTCATGTCCCGATTTGAGCGTTTGGGAGAGAGTTTTCCTTCATCAAGGATGTACATCTGTGCGACACTGTTCTTCTTAGCTGCCTTCTTAGCTGCCGCTACAAATATATACATACGTAATATATAATATATATATATATATATATATACGTGCGAGGAGAGATAGCCATTAACATACATACTAGACACGTTTAACTAAAACCAAACACTCTTCTCTATATATATATATATATATATATATTATATATATATATAATATAAGATTATATATATAATATGTACGTGCAAGGAGAGATGGTGCCATAATTATGGCAGCCATATACGTGACATGTACGTACTAACTGGGCACGTCTAACTAAAACCAAACACACTTCACGGAACGTTCATATCTCCATGTTTAGACTGCACTCGAAATGTCACTGAAAATTTCAGTTTGCCGTAGAGTTCCCGCTTTCACGTTCACACAATCGAAGATATGCGAGGCAAACCGTACCGAGAAAATGTTAGAATCGACTTGGCTCCCAGAAGATTGCAGTGGATATTGCTGGACTAATTATAAGTACACTGCACATATATATTTGCTCGAAATGTTTGCGGGTGGAAGCAAATACATACTAGGTAAACATTTGCAGTTGAAATTGTACGATGACGTAATTCATTAAATAAGTTCATTCGGTTGGTAGACTAACATAAATAACAGGTTAATTTTTACTCAACCGTGAAAGTTTGAAACGTACCGCTGACGTTTCGCCTCCTGCCAGGAGGCTTTCTCAAAGCAAACTGATGTTAATCAGTTTTGACCACCAGATGGTGTGGTGGTCAATAGCTGTCCACACGTGACTAAGCCTGTATCCCCCCCCCTCGTTCATAAGAGATGAACACATCACGGGAAAAAAACAACAGCCCAAAAGAAAACCTCCACGGAGAAACCGAAGGCGATGATCGTCCTACGCTATGTCAGAGGCATCACGGACGTAGTTCAGCGTCATCTAAAAAATGCAAGTGTGGCTTCAACAGTGCGACCGTTTGAGACTCTAAAACTCTCTTGGTACACCCTAGAGACAGAACAGATATGCACAACATTACGGACTGTGTCTACCAGATACCGTGTGCAATGTGTGGAAAAAGTTACATTGGAGAAACCGGCCGAAAATATTGAAACCCGCCTAAAAAAACACAAAAAGGTAGACACCGTAGCACCCAAATCGTTCACAAGGGGCCCAACGAAAACAGTCGGCTACCGAAATCACCAAATCGGCGATCACGGACCACGTAGCGAAAGACAATCACACCACCGATTGGGAGAATTCGAAGATCATCGATCGCAAGCCAATCAAAATCAGGTTAAGGAGGCCATCTGGATCCGCAAGACCCCAAACATCAACCGGGACGAGGGGGGATACAGGCTTAGTCACGTGTGGACTAAGCTATTGACCACCACACCATCTGGTGGTCAAAACTGATTAACATCAGTTTGCTTTGAGAAAGCCTCCTAAACGTCAGCGGTACATTTCAAACTTTCACGGATGAGTAAAAATTAACCCAGTTCTTTATGTACGATGACGGATTGAAAAATATCAAAATAGAAAATTAACAAAGAGGTAATGCATTTATGTTCTATTTGTTTTACATTTAAGATTGCTACCCGGAACATTCTAATGAAATTAAAGTCTGGTCAAAATGTGTTACAAATTGCATTTTACACGATCAGATATCACAGCACCATGAACCAATCACCCACACTGGATGCATGTTAAGTTAACAACAATCTAATAGATAGAATAATGCGAAGTATTATATAATCTCTCTTTCCTTCTCTCTCTTTTGCCCTTCAACCTCCTCGACTTGAGAAAATTTATAGAGAGAATAGAATATAAAAGGAAGAATATCGAAAATCTAGTAGATAATAGAGTAGCTAGAATTTGGGCATATATAAGCAAAAGTATCATCTGTTCGATTGCCATCGTGTCTTCTCCACACATTTCAATTAACGATGGTTTAATCCTAGGGTGCGCTGTCAGAAACAAACGTAGTCTCGCCATTTTTCTCGTTAACAGAAACACGGTGAAGTTACGAGTTTCACATACGCAATGCATAGAGGTTCGATCTACTGGAAAAGCCTAATGTTGAGAATTTTGTTTCTGACAATGACCCCCCGAGTAATAACTAACCCCCATTACATCCGCATACCTACTCCAGTTCTAGAGAGATTTCCGTTATAATAGAATAACGGGCGGAAAGAACGTTAAAAAAGAAAACCCGTCAATTTCACGAATCGGCATCAAAACAGTTCAATGTTCAACATTCGCGCTCGCTCGCAATCGTTCGCGACCGCACGAACGCGGGACACGAAGTATTTTTCCCGCCTACAAACATTTCTACAAACATTTACGCGGCACTACCTCGCACCACAGACTGACGAGAGAGATTATCTACAAGTAGATCTACCGACGGATAAATATATATGGCCCTCTTCGTGTCCCTGCACCGATAGATATTATCTACAGGTAAACGATGCTCTCTACCTATGGAACAGCCCCCTTCGTGGCCCTACAGGTAGCCCTACAGGGGCTTATCAGTCTCTTTCGTATCCCTGCACCAGTAGATGTTATCTACAGGTAAACGACGACGATTACATCAACAGCGCAGTGAGGACTGAATGCGAGAGAGACTAGCACGCATTCGTGCATCGATGACGGTTAGAGACAGCTGGAATAAATAGAACCGGTGACCTGCAGTACTGCGCGGGTGCACGGCCCGTGTCCATGAGGAATGTCAGATCAGCGACAGCAGCAGCAGCGGCCCTGTAACTAGGACAAGCGGAGTCGTACAATGAGTCGGATGGGATTAGTGGGACGGGCGCGGAAAACAGTAGACGTGAGCGGCGAGGAAGCACGAGATTTCCTAGTGACGCGCGTATAGTAGTACCAGCAGCAGTACAGGGTTCATAGTAGTAAGACACATGTTGAAATAAAAACTTATAAGACTCTTTCTGGAGGCCAAAATAAGACTTTTTTACGTGATTTCTGATAGATCACCGACTATTAAAGTACGCTAATAATATTTATATAAAGCTGTTTCGCCGAAATTCAACACAGAAAATGTTGAAAAATGTGGTCCTTTGGCAAAAAAATCAGGACTATTAAGTACTTTTTCTAGAGATTCAGCAGAACAAGAATAAGTACTATAATAAGAGGCGCTTATTTTATTTTTGGCAAATATAAGTACTTATAAGCATTGATGAGATCGCCGGCTAGCGAACCCTGCAGTAGTAGTACAATCAGTATAGTACAAGCGTAGGCAGTATCAAGCAGTAGCCCAGTAGCCCGCTCACTCAACTGTAGGTATTCACACACCGCACTGCAATGCGACGCGGACGCACGCGGGATGGTTCCACTGCAACAAAAAAGAAAAATCATAGCACATCCTGCTTCTCTTTCTCGTAAAAGTCGTTTAAACATGATTGATATATACTATAGTAGTATATATATATAGTAGGTAATTGATTAATATAAGTAATCATTCTCTTATTCTCGGTCTCTCGCTTCTCCCTCTCTCCCATATGCTGTTTCTATATCTTTGTTATGGTCATGCTGCATGCCCCTCATTTGTACATGCTCCCGTCCTCTCTCTCTCTCTCTTC